GCGGCGCCGGTGGAACGGCAAGGAGGAGAAGAAGAGGACGAAGGAGACGGAGAAGAAGACGAAGAAAAAGAGCAGGAAACGAAAACGGGCGAAGCGTGTGAATTCGCGGTCCGTGCGTGATAAAAAAAGGATAGAGGAAAAAGGAGGAAGAGGAAAGGGCGACGGGCGGCAAGGATCAGGGATAAGGATCGGCGAATGGTGCAGCCATGAAGTCGAACATCTGATCGCGATCGATTCGTGAGGAGAGCCGATCGTGACTGAGATCGTGACCTTGAGCAAGATGGTCGGGGGAGCGGTGTTGCTACCGTTGCTAGTCCTCTTCGGTGCCTTCGACGCTCCCGGCATCGAGAGAACTCGTGTCAAACATCTGGCGGAGGCTGGTAACACCTGTAACGCCTGTAGGATGCACGAGGAGATCAGAGCGCTCAGCCTCGAAGCCATCAAGGAGCAGATTTTGAACAAGCTCGGGTTGAAACAAGCCCCGAACATGACCGGCAGAGCCCGGCCGCGGATCCCACCGCTCTCGAAGCTGATGGACATGTACGGGATGCAAGCCGATCAACCACAACCCGTTGAGCCCGGCATCACTCACCACGAGGAGATCGACGAATACGCTGCCAAAACGGAGAGCGTCTTCGCCTTGGCGCAACCTCGTAAGTCTCAAATCCTTTCTCGATCTCTTCGTCCCCGTCGACGACGATCCGCGATTCTGAGGACTGTGTTGTGTAAGAAGCCCGCGTTCTTTCCGTTTCCGTGCATGTACGCATTCGGGGTCGCGTTATGACCAACGAAGACAACGGCGACGGTTACGGCGACGGCGATCGGCCGCGTGCATCCGTATTTTTCCTCGGGAACGTTCGCTGAATTGACCTCTCAGACCCGGCATTATTACACGCGATCGCACGCGCGGCAATTCGCAACATTGTAGGTTTAAATTGAAATGCTCCCGTCAGTAAACGGTTTGCTCCGCGTTGAAACGAGTCGAAACGAAAATTATATAACGCGACTCCGTCGCCTATTAAGCGGTAGTCGGCGAATAAAACTGCCAACGAGATTAGCTTTTTTCCGTGTACGCGTACACGGGAGAATCAGTTGACGCGGGGATAAGGTGTCGTAGTCGCATTTATTCGCGTCGCACACGATTCCCATCGCGTATTCTAAATTCGCTCGATCGAACCCTTTCGTCGGGCAGAAAAATATTTCAGGCTTCTTCCCTCGTTCCGCCTCGGCCGCGGGTTCTCGAGTCAGCAGCGCCGCATCGATCTGAAATTCGATCTTGTCTCTCGGCTTCGGGGGTCGGTCACGAGGCGATAATAAGCCTTATCGAACTTTTTTCACCGTGTAGTTCGCGGAGCCCGATCAATTTATGCACCGGGGGAACGTTTCACAGGGTTAGGCCAACAACCGTGATCGCTCGCGATTAATCCAGTTACGAGCCTTGCAATTTCGTACGACAGGCTCCCTACTCCCTTTTCCTCCGTCCCGACTTTGTTGTATAAAACGCGCGCGCGCGTTTAGGTACACGGACAGCACACGGACGGGAACGCGTCGTCGTGTTCGAATCTTTCGTAGCAAAGTCGATCTTAATGGTCTCGACGTGAATCGCGTAATAATCACGTTCGAACCTGTGTTTAAGCTCGTTCAGCTTCGCGTCTCACCGCTGGTCGGTTCCCATCACCGAAAGGCGAAAGGAATCGAAGTCTGATCGAGAGCCGCGCGAGCCCGATAATTTCTGAACGATCTTCACGAATTTAAAGGCAGGTCGCTCGGTTGGTCGACAGGGTTCGTTGACGATTTTCCCGCGCGGCCAAGTCTTTCTTCTGATCACGGGTACTCGCGGAAACTTTCGAGCGACCGGCCCCGCGTCATCGCCGTAATTGCAGGGTCCGGCGTCGATCGAACGGCCTCCGCCGTCATCGAACGAACCAATTTTTGTCTATACAACCGTAAAAGTGAGTCCGGTCGTTCGTCGACCGGTTCTTCCGCAGCGGCGCATCGTAAAAAATCGTCCGATCACGGAAGACCGATCCATTTCGATTTAATTGGAACAACGACGCCGCTGAGAGCGATAAGTTTACGCGCAGATCCGAATCTACGAGATGTTGGTAATTTATTACGTGCAAGATAATTACATGCTAATTGCGTCCGAGTTTCGAAAGTGACGTCGGCTGCTCCCGTTATCGGCAAGATTAGCGCGCCCGAAACCACTTTGACGAGAACTAACTCGGCCGATTACTAAATAGTACGGTGTACAATTATGTTCGTAAGCTATGGTCCCGATCTCCACGGTACCAAAACCGTCGTCACGGCTTTGAAATTCGGTCCCGTCGAGAGGATCGTCGGAGGGACGGCGATTTTGGACGAATGCGTGGAGCGTGCTGATGGATCGCAGCGGTCAGCGAAGGTACTTTTTCCTCTCTCCTCTCCGTGCTTCAGGGGCGAAGGTAGCGAAAAAGAATTCACCGCTGAGAGAAACGGTATCGCGCCGATGCCGAACCAGTATCAAATTCGTAGAGGGTTATCGCCTCGGGCGACCTACACGTATTGCTCTCTTTGACGGCCGAAAGTTGCCGCAGGAGACCGCACAATCTCCGCTATTCGCTTTTGCCAATTCTTCATCTTCCTCTCTACGCTCTCTCTCCCTCCCTCTCAGCTCGTTCTCCCTCCGGCGAGTCTCGTCGTTCCTCTCTTCTCGTTTCGCTCTTTCTTTTTGCTTCCCCCGTGCACGTTCGGCGTTCCTCTAAATTTATCATTTTTCATACACGTACTATACACGACGCAGTATCAGTGGATTCGCAATATTTTCATTCCCTGTTTTCGTTCGCATTCGCGTTTCTGTCTCTCATCGCGCGGGCGGCAATCTCATCACTTCTCGAATTCCTGTCTTTCTGTCGACGACGACGACGACCACGACGAGAGATCGATCGATCTTCGCCGATCGATGGCCGGTCGGCGTTCGTTCAGGCAGCCTCGCTGCATCACATCCATTGGAGTCGTTCGCACGGTTCGAAATTGTACATGCTAATGGGCGTCTCATGAGCGAAGGAATCGTTTAAAAGCGCGACGACAGAAGCAGAGGAGGTCCTGCGCGTGACAAAGGATAAAGCGGCCGGAAATCTACAAGCTGCCGTCTGTATTCATTTATCGTCGACGATCCGTCGGTGCTCTCTTTCATCCTTCGTACCGTTCTCCATCGCCGGAAGCACCGGTACCGACGCTGACCGACGACGACGGCCGACGGCCAGTCCGAGAACGGCCAGAGAAGAGCGCGAGAGACTCGTGAAAGGAGAGCACAGTGGTCCAGTGGTCGATACGAAACAGAGACGTTGTCAGCGCGAATTCCAAGTAGAGAAGAACCGGCCTCGATCCGGTACGAAGGTCACGGTCGACGCACAGCCTAGGTCAGGCCCATCGGTCATCGTCGGTGGTGGTGACTGGCCGCTGTCAGAGCCTGTCGGGGTCTTCGCCGTCGCCAGCTCCGATCGAAACGAATGAATCTGAAACGTCGGCGACGCGTGTATCGAACGCGCGTATGTAAACCGTCGAACAACGACGGTGCGAGGTAGTAAGACTGCGGTCAGCATACTCGCAGACAGGCGCCGCGCTCCGTTCCATCAGTGATTCTCAATTCTCGATTCCTCAACGATTCGTTCAATCAGCGACATTGTCTCGGAGTCGGTCTGGACGTCGTTTTCAGTGTCACGACTCTGCCTCGTTCCGTTCCGCCGATCGGAAAGCAAACGCCATCGATCAAGGAGATCGAACGGAACGAGGAAGGCAATCCGCGAGTTCGGAGACGATCAAACGTTCGACGATCGAACGATCTGGTTCGATCGTTTCACGGATCTCGTCACGATATCCGATTGATCGGCCTCCGCTCGGTGGCGCCGATCTAGAAAACCAGTTTCTCGTGTTCCTGACTCTCAGCTCGGAGATATTAACAGTAGACGTAAGCGCAACGTAGCGACTCGAACGCGTTTAAGGACCACTACGGTTACATAATGATTCGATGGTTGTCATCGTCGACTGGATGCGTACGACTGGAATATTAATAGAAGAACACGCGACGTCGTATCGCGTTACCTGACGCGAGCAGATTCTCGTTTCATCAGATTTCATCCAGCACCGGGGGTTACATTTTTCATCCGCTGTCGAGTCTTCTCTACGCGCTTTCCTCCCCCGTTTCTGACGCGAGGGACACGAACGCACGCGATCCTCGGTAGGGAAGCTGAGCGTGGCCGCAGGCCCTTTGCGTCGCGCGAAAAAAACCAGAGAGAGAGAGAGAAAGAGAGAGAGAGAGAGAGAGAGAGAGATGTGAGAAAGGGAGGAGAGAAACGAGCGACGGACGGCCGAGGGGAGGGCAAGGGAGGTACGCGTGACCCAAATGCGAATTTTATCGAGTTACGCCGTGTTATACTGTCCAAGTGCAGTCGCGATTGCAGGGCGGCTTCGTCACGCGACGCGAACCACTCGAGGGCGGCAGTTTTTACGTCCGGTTCTGCCGTCGCGAGCAGCCCCCCGGATCTCTCTCCGTGCCCCCGATCCCTCTCGTCGAGCGCCCCGCGACGCGGAAACCACTTGGAACTAGTACCGGAAACACGAGCGATAAGATACGCTCGTAGATACCGTCGGCCGTCGGTCAGATTTTCCTCGTGCGCGCGCGGTTGAACGATATTTTTGATCACCGATCGATTCGCGCGATAACATTTCACCGGTCGCGGCTAACGAACAGGCTCTCTCTCGGTCTCGAACGTTCGCGCGAAGCGAATCCGAGTCGCGTGAACGCGAGAACCGGTGCGTGTAGGAATCGCGTAACCCGTCGCCCCTGTGCTCGTCACTTTCTGCCAATATTTTTCTTCCTTCTTTTCTTGCCATTTTCGCTTAGTTGCGAGAAGTACGCGAATGGACGTTAACCTCAGGACAGGTGTCTCGAACGCCGCGAGTTCTCGACGATGTCGCGGGTGGGAACGATCGTCGTCGTCGTCGTTGTCACGTCAATTTCGAGGTTCAACGGCCCGCATCGCGTCGCAGAGTCCACCGTGACGAGTACGCGAGACAGAGAACGCTCGCGAATGGACGGAAGCCAGTGGAGAGAAAGGACGATTTCGGTTCTTGTCTGGTGGTACCCCGGTCGAAGAAGATCACGTTGTTCGTTACTGGGTATAGACGATATGTCGCGCGATATTTTTATACTCTTGCCATCGCGTCGGTGACACTGAAGCTGAGAGAAGGCCCGAACGGGCATCTCAGGATTCGTCGCACGCTTCGTCGCGCGATCAGCAGCGCCCGATGTGTTTCGATATTCGACTCGAGACACGGCGAATTCGGAATATTCGGCAGATCTTCCGACGGACAGTGAGCAGTACTCGGAACGTAGGTGTACGCGCGAGACGGGACGTGCAGGGGTTCGCGTCTCGTATCAATTGTTCCTTCGTTTATTTATAGGCAGGGCCACGACACCGTGGTATCACCGTTCTTGTTTTCCATCGTTTCCACTCGTCCCGCTTTCCCGTCTGTTCGACCGCGTGCACGTGCCATTGTCCCCTCGGCTGGCGCGCGGACTCGTCGCGAATTTTCACGCGGAATCCGTGACCCGCCGATACCTGTCGCCCATGCGTGAACGCATCGTTCACGCTCGGCGAGACGCTGCACGCGTCGCAGACGAGGACCGTGAAAAGATCGAAACGGGAGAACCGATCGTTCTCATCGACGAGACTCCGTCTACGCTCGATGTTCGTCCGTTAGAACTCTCCGTTCGATGAAAAACTGTTTGCCAGGGGTAGCACGGAGCATGGTCTTGCAATGCGACTGACCTCCGTCCGCGAACAACTATATTTATCTCTCGCGCCGAAGCACGATGCGTACTCGATGTTTTAACCTTATTGTCTCTCTCTTCTATGCTCCGGCTCGGGTTTTTTCTTCTTTTCTCCTTCGCATCCAGCCTCTTTCTTCCTCTGTCGCGCTCGCTCTACGCATTTATTTGTGTCTGCCCGCGAACAGATGTAAAATTCGCGTACCCCGCGTTGCCACGTGTTTCGGGCTGGTCGTCACCACGCGTCGGCCGGGTGGAATTTTAACGAAAAACTCGCGTCCATTCGAGATATCGCGCGCGAATTCTTTCTTATCACGTTCCAAACCGATGACGACGCCCGTCATCGGCTCGTTTTTGTTTGTTCGAATTCGCGACTCGGTGGTTTCCCTCTCCCGGCGACGCGCGCAGTTGAACGCGCTTTTGACGATTTTCGTGCTAGACGGGCGGTAGCCGCGTCTGGACAAAAATAAAATTGCCATCTTTCTGTCTCGCCGCCGCCGTTGCCGTCGTCGTCGTCGCCGCCGCCGTTGCTCTTTCTATCCACGCCTTTCGACGCGAGAGAGCATGACTCATTCCTGCGTCCGACCCGCAAACACAAAGAAGGACGACTCCTAAATTAACGAAAATGAAAGAGAGAAAAAAAAGCCGGCCGAGACGTACGACGCTGAAGCGAACGCCTCGAAACGAAAACTCATCTGCTCCTGCGTTCGTCTGTTCGACGTCGCATCATCGCTCGTTCAAACGGTCAACGTCGCGGGGGAGGAAATGGAAGGGTGGCCGCAATGAACGCGAAGGAAGAACGACGTACCGTCAATTAGCCTCGGTGGAAATCGATTTGAGGACGGTGATTCGAAGCGGTAATTGCCAGTTGGAGGATCGCGTGACGGACAACGTCCCGAGCGAGAGACGTTCTCGACAAATAATTATCTCTGCGCGCGTCGCCGGAAATACGACGTATGACGTGTGACGGTCGAGGACGATAACGAAGCCGACACCGGAATCCGCAGAAACGGTCGCAAATAACGCGTCCTCCGCTAATTAATTAAGGAACCTCGGCTGGAAACCGCGCGACCACCCCCTTTCCTGTCATTCACGCGACGTGGACTCCGGCGTATCTGACTCCAAAAGCGATCTGCGTGTAATCTCTCGAGACAAAAAGAAACGCGCGACACCGTGGTCCGATGGTCCGAGAGACCCGGTACGATCGTGTACGCGTGTATATAGCGCGAGTTGGTAGGAAGTACGAACTAACGTCGAAACGAACACTTCGATCGAAAGAAATTTCCTATCTTTCTCTCTCTCTCTGTCTTTCGTTCGGCACGTGAGACGGAATGATTATCGAGAAAACGCGTTCGCGCGTCTCATCGGAGGAAAATTCGTTTTTCGAGGGCCTGCGAATGACGGACGGTTCGAAGCGCGGTGGTCTACGTCGACTCGGCGCGTGGGTCACGCAGAGTTACGGTGGGGTCCGATGGAATACGAAGGACGAAGGCGAAGCCGTGGCGGTATATCGACACAGGAACGAGCGGAGATCGTCGATTGATCGATAAAGGAAAAACGTAGTCGGCGTAACGGTATGAATTGAGGCGGCTTTACCCTTCATGGAAGCGGTCTCGGGCGAACGATGTGGCCTGAATAGGGGGTCGAGACCGACGTACTTCGCTACGCGTTCCGTATAAACTCGCTTCACCTTTTTCCGTTCCCCCGTTTCTGTCTGATTCGGAGCCGATCGATCTCTGTCGATTGTCGATCGTCGATCGCGGCGGCGGCGGCGGCGACGACGGAGGTCGGCTCGGAGTTGCTGCTGGTCTCGGTTGTCGCCGAGCCAAATGTCGGACGCGACCGAACCGAACCGTCTCCTCCGAGCGGCAAGAAACTCCGCGCGACCACTTCACCGGTCGTTCTTGATTTATAGCCAATCGCAGGAACCCGGGAACAACGCAGTTAGGTTCGCGCGCGCGTGCATCGTCGCGGGGATTTTCTTCAGCATCGATTCTCGAGATCTCGCGGGATTCTTCCCTCGGCCTGCTTTCTCCTCCTCTCGTCCCGCTCGTTCTCTCTTTCTCTCTTCGCGTCTTTGTCTCGGCTTAACCGTCCCCCTTCTGCGTCTCGGTTTCAGATCAGAGGCTACGGCACTCGAAAGGCAGCCTCGACGTTCTCTATTTTAAATTCTCGGACAAGGTGGTCCAGCATCGCGTGACGAGGGCGGAATTGTCCCTGTGGATATGGGGAAACAATCGAGAGGCCTCGGAGCTGGACGATCCCGGGGATCTGGAGAGCGCGGAAAGCGACGAGGACGACGGCCCGGTGACGATCACCTTGCAGAGGATTCTTCGCGGCGGCACCGAGTCCGGTGGGCCGTCGTTGGGCCCGCCTTTGACCACGAAACACCCTCGGCCCGTCGGTTGCCGAGGGAATTGGGTGACGATCGAGCTACGAAGAATGGTCGCGGAATGGTTCAAACATCCGCGAGACAATCTCGGTGTGGCTCTCAAGATTTCCGGCCCCGGCGGGAGCCACCGTAGGAACTCGAGGTTGGTAGAGACCAATCCCGGAGCCGAATACGCGCCGTACCTGGAGGTACAGACGCAGGAGCTCGACTCCAGGAGGGGGGCGAGGATCAAGAGGAACGTAGGACTCAATTGCGACGAAGCCAGCCAGGAGACGAGGTGTTGTCGGTACAAGCTGACCGTCGACTTCGAGAAGTTCGGCTGGGACTGGATAATCGCGCCCAAGAAGTAAGCGACGACTTACTTTCGGTCTCTTCCATTCGTCTCGGTCTTCCTTCGTCGTCGTCGTTCTCGTCGGTGGCAGATATTTGTAATCGACGCCGATTCGAGGCGACACGACGCGAGCGCGTAATTGTAAAGGCAACGCGATTTTCTGTCTCAGGTACGATGCCAATTACTGTTCGGGCGACTGTCCAATGGCCTTTCTACCGGCATACCCGAACACCCATATCGTCAGCCTCGCGGAGCCGCCGAACAATTCCGGTCCATGCTGCGCCCCGAGGAAGCTCTCCGAGATCACGATGCTCTACTTCGACAACGAGTATCAAATCGTGTTCTCGCGGTTACCAGGCATGGTCGTCGAGAGGTGTGGATGTTCTTAGTCCACCGTGCAGCTCGAGAGGAGCAACGACGGCGAGGAAGACGTCGAGGCCGGATCGACGTTCTTCGTGGATGCTGATCTTCCCTACCCTTCCTGCCTCACTCTTTCCAGGTTCTTCTCTCTCCTGTTTTTTTTTTTTTTTTTTTTTTTAACCGTGTTCTTTTCACCCTTTCGATCGACGAAATCGTCGTTTTCGCCGTCGTTGCATCTTCGGCGGAGTCCTCGTTCGATAGACTGAAAGTGCCTTGTCTGGGGTGGTTCGGTGCCGCGAACACGATCCACGAGATCGATGCTCGTCGACTTTTAGTCTACGCGTCGTAGACGAACGGACGATCGATACGATCGGTGAAGAAAGTGCGTGCGTGCGCGTCGACGTTGCACACCTTGACAGTCGTTTACGGTCCATGGCAAGGCGGATAGTTCCTAGAGTCACGGTATTATTATTAAGGTGTCGATGCGTTTACACCTGATCCAAGAGAACGACCGCGAAAAAATTATTTTTTATACGGGAGCCTATTGCATTTAAATCGCTCCGATCGATGCTTTTTGATAAATCCATTTTTGTCGAGATAGAGAATTTCTACGCAAAACGAAATCATACGATGTTCCCTATGCGCGTCGTCACCCTTCTGGACGAAGAATACTAAAATAAAAAACAGAAAGGAAAAAGAAAACGGGGATGCAAAGATGAAACGATTCGTTTCCGGTAGTCGTCGTTGATCGGTGGAAACGTGTTGGCCGAAAGATCTCTGTGTACAGTGAATTGTTTTGTCTCTCTCTCTCTCTCTCTCTCTCTCTCTCTCTCTCTCTCTCCTCCTTCCCTTCTCTCCCGTCTTTCACATGCGTACACGTACTTTCTCTTTGCACATACGCGTACACACAAAGCATAAATACTTCGTTGTTCGTTTCTCGTCTCCTCCTCTTTCAGCGGATCGTGTGAACGCGTGCACGATGTTGTGTAAATATGTCGTACCTAGGCTACACTTTGTCGCTCTCCCCATTTACTTTCCTCGTTCTCTTCTAAGGACTTGGGAGAACGTGTTGCTTATGTAGACGAATGTGCGTCTTATTTTTAAACGCGATCACCGCGGACCGCGGACTCGCTCGTGCAAAGTGAACAGTTTTCGCGACGTCGATTCAAAAGATGAAATCGAGGCTTCTTCTGTCTCTTCGGGACGCACGCTCACGTGTACGCGTGCAACGCGTATATCGACGCGGATCACGTCTTCTACGAACGCGTCGAATCCGCGGTGTTAACGATCACACGGTTTTCTCTGGTACGTGTATAGACGCGAACTACTACTATACGACACTTGGCCGATATCGCGTTCGGAGACGACGAGAGCCACGACTTTTTTACACGACTTCACGGAGCTCCGAGTCGCGTTTGACGCGCGTCGCGGGTGGCGATTGTACATGTGTATATCACGGCTAAAAATTTACGCGATCCAAGTGTATTTTCAGCCGCGTTCTTCTTGTGATTTTTGGTAAATTATGATAGTATCGTTGTGATATCTAGTTGCTTGGCTCTAAAGGTACAGAGACGACCGGGTGGAGTATCCCAGTATTCTCGAGGTATCTGGGCTCGCTTCTACGTACGCGTCCTGAGAATCTCGGTGCCCATGCCCGTAATCTTCGCGCACGAAATGAAACGGCATTCTACGATCTTTCCTTTTCGAGCGCAACGTAGTCTTAGAAACGTTACGGCCTTCAAATCATTCGTTTCTCTTCTCTTTCGCTTCGATGAAACGGATCCATTGATCAGCCGAATGAAAATGTACAGAGAGGGAAAGGGGAATCGTGATTTCCCGTTTCGTTCGATGCCGGCAATACCGCGCAGCATATTTTGTCGAAGACTCGGAAGATTCTCAATTTGTTTCTCAATTCTGCTGCTGCTACTGCTGCTACTCTCTCTCTCTCTCTCTCTCTCTCTCTCGCCTTTCCTTTGAGAACCGTATCCACTTATTTCCCGCCTATCGTTCATTTTCTTGTCTAATTTTCATTCTTCGTTTGTTTGTCAATGTGTACCTAGCATTAAAAAGTAATGGAATTGTGTACTCTCAGTATCCAGACATGAGCGGCGAATACTGCATACTTATATATATACATATATATATATATAATGTGTACTTCCTAGGTAGAGAGTATTCATAGAATATTTATTCGCTGAAATAAATGGTTTTTCGATGAAAGGGTGTACCGATTTACTCCCACTTTTTTTCGTTCGTCAGATCATTATCTCGTTTGGCTTGGATGTAGAGTAGAGCCTCGTCGATACCTTTCATCAATCGTCCTTAACGCTTATTCATTAAATGCTTTTCTTTTACTTGGTTGTTTAATCGCTGTAACGCTCGCGGACACCGTGATAAACTTTCGGGCCACGAAACGATTATTTATATTTAGTACCCCGACACATTTTTATTTACCAGTCGAGTTCCGGTGGACTTTCCATTATAGATTCGCGCGTAACATAAAAAACTGCTGAGGTGGGCGTCGCACACGGTCTCCTCTGTTCGCGAACGCGCGGAAATCATCTTTCTCTTTTCGAGAACGCGCGGAATGCTCGTTGATATCGATATTTTCGAGGCTTATCTCGGGTCAGAGTTAAACGAGCGAGAAGCATCTCTCGTGTCCGATTTCGATTTTCGTTGCCGCGTTCAACGGTACGCTCGCCGACGCGTTCCTTCGAACGAAAACTGATCGCGGTACAGCGGTTCTAAGCCGAGTTAAAGCTTCCAGAAACGGACGAGAGACATCCACTGTCCTTACTCAAGTACCAAACGAGTCACAAGGACCTTACGTAAGAGTCAGTATTTTCTGTGTAACGATGTCACTTGGCAAAAGCAGAAGTAAATGTAATTTTATGCGCATCGAGACAGAGCGGTGAAATACAACGATACTCCTACTGTAATTCGTCTTGGCATGCGTTCACGTTTCGCAGGGAAAGCGGGAAGGGTAGTCGATTACTACCCGGGGGTTCGGGGCTCGGGGTTCGACCGTGAGTGGTCGTTACGGGCAGCACGGAACGGTGCACGCCGTACAGCAGGCTTCCGACCGTTTCTCGGCACTCAGCTGCGTTCGACCAACAACTATATTGCCCTTTGCTCGCGTCCCGGGCGTCATGTCAATTCATCTACGATGCACAGTTCCATTTTAACGATTCACTGATCGGAGCGCAGAAGCCGGTCTCGCACGGTCACGTTGCCTTCTCGAGGATGCGCCGCGGCGCCTGATCGAGCATCGGGGGACATCCTACGGGAACGCGAACGTGAGAGAAAAAAAGATCAACGTGAAATTAATAAATTAAAATTAAAATTAAATTAAAATCATCTCATTGCCGATTAAAGCGAACGTTAGTTTTAAGAGAAGCAGATATATCGAGAGGTGCAATAAAAAATTGATTTTTAATTTTTATTAGTGCTCTCACTTAAAGATGTATTGGCTATACAGTCAATTCCAAAACTTTATGCACTTTAGAAACGCATTTTTCAAAAAGAGATCAGACGTCGGAAGAATAATGCTAATAATAAATAGTGCTAAAAAGTATAGAAGAATAATACGTGCTAAAAAGTATAGAAGGAAATATCCATTTAAGTATTGACGCTCACGAAATTCACGATTTCTCTTTAATTATAGGAAATGCGTTTTTCTAAAGTACATAAACATTTGGGATTGACTGTATAGCCAATACATCCTTGAGCTGCCAGACTCGAACTGAACTATAGATGGTCCTGTGTGACTCGTGCTCGAGAGATCCATCTCCCTATAGCCGTTATCACTATTTCGTCTATGGCACGGGAATGTGTCTATGCCTGTGAGATTCGTTTTGAAAAGCATGACGAATTCATATCCCTGTGTAAGTTTAGGACACCTTCCACACGCCTGCCAGGAAAATGTATAAAAAGATCGTCATTGATTTTTGCGTACATGTCTATAGCGAAGTTGAAAACGGTTCAATCGGAGCGTGAAAGAACGCGCAGATAAAGGAATTTATTTTCACGCTCCGTGATGTCGATGCAGCCGTATCGCGGTCGCGAGTCCGGTAATTGGTGTTAACGACCAACGTGCCCCGCGATTGACGAAAGTTGCACGTAGAAAATTGATAGCAGGAATAATTGAAGCGCAATTCGTTGCATCGTCCAGTATACGAGATCGACGGTACTCGAACAAATAAGATACGTTTGGGTCAAATGAACGGGGGGAAACCGTGATACGTAGGTAAGATCGTTCGGCATTGGTATTTTCACTTTTTTGAATCGTCCGAACCAGTGGTACGGGATCGTTAGTTCAAAAGCACGTTGTGTCAAGTAGACGACGTACGTACGTACGTGTGCACACGGGCGGACGCGATGAGTCGCGGCCGCTCGACTCTACTTCGGTGAACTACCGTTTCGTCGTCACAGACAGAAACAGGAGAATATTCCTTTGGCGTGGTCGTCGGCCGGCTGGTGCTCGAGTACGCACGGAGACGAGCGTCGTCGCGTGGCTGCTCGAAGATTCGGACGCACGCCACGGGAAAAACGATGCCAGTAGTAATATAATAACGATAATATAATTTCCCGCTGGACGGGGTAGCGGGTCTCTTACCTCATTATCGTCACGATCGAACGATGGGGGTGGGGGGCGGTTGTCCAGCTGCGTTTTACGATTTCGTTTAACGAGTCGACTCTGAGCGAGCGAACACCGCGACCATTACCCGGATTTGCATTTTACGAGTGAATGGTCAGAGGTGAACGGATAGTCGGAGGAAACGAAAACTAGAGAATCGAAAGAGGGAGGTGTATAATTCAGTCCTCGTTTCCCGACTTCCTGCTCCATCTTCCTCACCCTCTGCCGGGACATTCGACTCGTGAAAGCGGAAACCGAAGTCGTAGTGCTCGCAGTTGGAGCACGCGATCGAAGGGTCGCCGTCAGAAGAAGGCCAGGAAACTAAATGCTATCGCATACCTGCGTTCGTAGTGTAACGTACCGTCGTGCGGTGTACCGATACGTAGATACGCCGGGCCGACTTTACGTACGTTTAAACGGTTAGCGGAAGCTCTCGAAGAAAGTGGTACACGACGTCCCACGTGTAATACTCGAGATCCACGAGAGAGGCCCGGGGGCTGGTCTCTCATTCGAGGGTGGAGGACCAAGTGCACGGTGTACCCTCTCTCTGACAGGGGTCGTATAAACTTGGAGATTCCTTCCGCGAAGGGTCGAAGAAACGAGCGCGTCACGAGGGCCGGTCGGTCCCGTGTCGCCCCGAGGAGATGCAACTTCTCTCCTTTCCCGGCTTCGCGAACGTCAAACCGCACGAATTAATTCTTGACTCTCCTGTACAGCGGAATTATTCGAGAAAATGTTGGTCGACGAAAATTCGATCCATGAGAAATTATGTGTGACGCGCGGGGCGATGCTGCTGCTGCTGCTGAACAGAATTCAAAAGACCTTCGGCGTCTGTCGAATCGGTTCGCTTGAATTCCGACTGGATTTGAACGCGATTGCTTTACATAGCAACGGGCGAAGACGATGCACTTGAATCGACTGACGGTGTATATTTCTAGCACTCTGCGTTTAGCTCCGTAACAACAGTGGAACGCTGCCGGTGAAATCCTCGAAACCACGAGTTCCCTCTGCGCCCTCGTTACACCGTACCCATCCTATATCGTATCATTCCAAGTCAATTCGTGCTATTGGCTTGATCAATTGATCGATCGCCGACGACCGTTCGACGACTCGCACGACGTCGTTGCACGTTTCAAAAGGAACATCGGACGAAACGTCGTCGTTGTCGTTATTCTTTCGTTCACCACTCGATTCTAAAGTAACGAAGAATCATTTTCGAACTTGCGTGACACGAAAATCGAGTGTCGAACGAGAGAGTCGCTCCGGCTGACCGACCGACGACGCGAGGATCGAGTCGAAAGAAGTGTCGATGGTATCAAACAGCGAGTATACGCATCCTCGTGGTCCTCGAGGAAAGTAGAGTGACATGGAAAGACAATGGGGACGCTCTTGAGCGGGTACTCGACGAATCGTCACATATCTGCGAAAGATACGGACGTCCCTTTCGAGCGGGCGAGTTCCTCAGCAGCCCTTTAATCTCGATATACGTACACGGATGGAAGAGGGTGGTGGGGACGGGAGAGAGGAGGCGCGATAGCTGGCTACTTTATACTCGGAGGCTAGCTACCTGGCTGAAAGGGGAGGTATTACGGGGTTACTAAAGTGTTGTATGGCCTCCCCAAGCCCCATAAGGATAGCCCTCAGGCACGCACCCCCGTTATCGTATGCGTATGCAGTTTTTTCGCTGGTGCGTGCGCGGGGCTCGCAGCCCTTATATGTGCAGCGAAGGTGAAGGGGGCATCGGGTAACACGGGCAGGCAGGCAGGCAGGCAGCTAGGCAGGCAGCCACCCAAACGACCGAAACCTGAATGCTCGCCCAGGATCACCCTGGGTCATTCCTACGTGCACTCCGTTCTATTCCGTTCGTACCTCCTGCCATGGACGTTCGATCGCGACCGGAATCGCGCGCGTAGAAAGGGTCAAAGATCGAGAGACCGGGCGGTGGAAGTCTAGATCGTAGACAGACATCGATCAAGCCCGTGCGATTGAAACGATAGCCGGAACGGGAGGAGTTTCGTGTGCGCACCACGGAATCCCGTTCCGAGGGGTGCATAAATCCCGAGTGTGCCGAATATCCCTGTTTCGCGTTTCGCTTATCCCGGATCGGATCGTAACTAGTCCCATTCGACTCGACGGACCGCAACCTTTCCTATTTATACCGCGAAATTCCCGGAAGGAGAAGGCAGATAGCATCGAACCAGCAACTCATACGAAAGAGGAGTACCTATAATTTTCCCCCGATTTCGTGTACGGTTCCAGACTAGCACCCCACCCCCTCCCTCCCCCCGTTCCATCGACTGCACGCACGTTCGCGTTCGATCAAACCGCCCCGAACTTCGCCCCTCGCCCCTCGCCAATTATTTTTTCGCCGGCTTCGAAAGTTCTCGTTTGGCGTACCCTTGTCCGTCGAACGTCCTCGGCTCGCTCGAACGCGTCTTCTCGTTTTGTCTCTAAGTATTCCTCTCGCTCTCTTTTTTTTTTACCCTTTTTGGTAGAAGACGCTCTCGGCCGGATTCATCCATGACCGCATTCCGCGTCGAAACGTGCGCCAGCCCAAGAGGAGAGGGGATCACCGTTGGGAGATCCGAGAACCGAGATGATCGATGGGAGTGCAAATAAAAGCGGCGACGGTTCTAGGAAGATGATATTTGCTCGGTCGCGATCAACGGTCGAGACGACGACCAGACGGGACAATGATAGATCAATCTAATTCGCATGCTCCGGGAGCCGCGTCACGGGCGAGATCTCTCTCGATCTTCGGCCTCCCACTCTCCCTCTCTCTTACACACACACGCACACACGCTCTACGTGCCTGAACCGTCCGTCAGCGATCGATCGACGATCCGAGTCGAACCATCTTCCTTCCCCATTTCCGAACTGTTCGAAATCGCAGTTCAAGGGGATCGAGTCGACGGATCGACATCGAATTTTTCTATCGATTCTCGTCTCGCGGAAGCTGCCTCGTTCTCATCGACTTTTGATACGGCAGAGACCGGTCGTTTCTCTGCTGTAGATAAGACAGCATTTCGTTCGGAACGTTTCTACCCTGGAGGACTTCGTGGCCGTCGTTCAAAACGAAACGGCGCGACTTCGAGCGTCTCTCACGACCGTTCGTCCATCTCTTCCATCCGTTGGATCTGGAAACGGACAGAGGTCGGAGAGAACTGTAAACCCGGTCGTGCACCCCGTGTGCGGAGCGCGTGCAACGGTCGATAGTTCGCTGCGCGACGTTTTCACGGTACGATAAACCCGCTCACCCATTTTAGCGACGACGACGACGGTCTCTCGCCGGGAATCTGACCGGTTCGAACTTTACCACCGAGCGTTCTCGTCGCGCCGCGATGGTAGGTAAGGCTGCGGCGATATTTTCCTCGGTGTTGCGAACGATTAAAGACAAGAGATCCACGACGGTGCCAGAAGGTGAATCGTGGAACCTGTAGCCACCCAGGAAGGCGGTCCCCCTTTCTATCCGGCCTCGGCGCGAACTTTGTTCTCTCTTTTCTTTCCTTCCTTCAAGGTTGCCCCGGCGTCGACGACGCGACGCGAGTCGTAAAGAGTATCGAGTAACTGTCGAAGGGTGTCGACAGAGAAGCCAAATATCGAGGGAAGGAAAGAACATCAGCCGAAGAGGGAGAACATACGTAAAGAATTCGTCGCGTTACATCTAGAAACAAACGATCCTGGACGCGTCGTCGCGTTCGGAGAACGGACGAGCGTGCAGGATCAAAAGGAGGAACGCAGCTATAACGCGGCTGTGCGCGCATCGGGAAAATTACATTTGCACGCTCGCAAAGCTCCGAGCGTTTTACCCGGTGCGTACGAAGCGATGGAAAAAGGGCGGAAGCGAGGGGGAGGGCTCGCGCGACAGAGAGAAGGATTTTGGGGAAGATTACAACGGAGAAGAGGAAGAGGATTCTGGGGAAAGTAAGAGACGAGAACAGGAGCCTTGGCTCATAATAGGAGGAGAGACCGGCGCCTCTCGCAGCATCACCACGTGGCATGAGGCCAACTACCGTCTTCTGATCAATATGCTTACGGCTAGCTTGCCTCTCCTTCTATCGCTCTCCGGCTGCTCTTCTACATCGACTCGCGCGAACCGCAAAAGTTAGGGACACCGTCGACACGTCCACTGTAACGACCATTTTCAACCGTACAGAAAGAATTTCACGCGTTCCGACGATAATTGAACTATCCCCTGTTCCCCCCGATTCCCAACGACGCACGGGTTCGTGACATGGTCGAACTCGAAGAGCAAAGTTGGACGATCGGAGGGCGGAAAAAACCGTATGCAAATTAACAGAGCAATTCGTATTCGAGAAGCGCGGCGATGGAGCTGGAGTGATGGAGAAGAGAAAGCGGAAGCATCGCGGTACCACGCGTGAACCACGTGGTTCGCCTGTTAGCGACCCTGTCCTCCGTTCTTCCTTCTCCTCTTCGTTCCCTCGTACGCGTTCGAATCGCGACACGGAATTCTCGGAACGTTCTCGATGATCGTTCGCCCCGTGAAACGTCGTAGATCTCGGAAGGAGACGCTCGTCGGTCGATTCGAAACGGCAGCGGGGCGCAAACGGAGAATTGGCGCGAGGGTAAAGTAATCGCAGAGATCGTTGAAGTAGTACCGGCGGTATTATGGTTCCGGTGGTACGTCACATCCGTTACAGAGAAGCTGTCGAGCTCGGGGAGAAGCGTCGTCGACGATTTCGAAACCGGACTCGTAGACCGTAGCGTAGAGGGAAAAAGCGACGCCCTCCCCGAGCGACGCTTACCTGGGAAACGCATCGACGGGTACTGTTGCACGTAGATGCGATCAAAGCGGAAGAGAGAAAACAAGAAGAGGGTAACGTGTAGACGGGGAATCGGTAGAGAGGTGAAAAGCGTCGAACATAACGTACAGGAGGAGGGACCGGGTAGGTACGTAAAGTTATCGGGGAGTTTGGCCGGTTGTTGCAGTATCTATGTACTCGTATGTATATCGGCGTGGGTGGGTGGATTGTGTTTCGCTGGTCGGTGGTGGCGGCAGCAGCGCTGGTGGTGGTGGTGGTGGTGATAGTGGTGGTGTTACCGCTGCTCTGCTGCTGCTGCTGCTACTGCTTCTGCTGCTGCTACTGCTACTGCTACTGCTACTGCTGCTGCTGCTGCTGCTGCTGGCGGTGATGGTACGGCCACGGCGGTGGTGGTATCGGTATTGGTAGTGGTGGTGGATGCCCCTCAGTGTCCGGCGCGCCTCCGACAAGCGTGCTTCGGTCGTTATAGGGATCCTTTGGCGTTTCGTCGTTATCGTAAATGATATCGGCGAGCCAAGTAATCGAGGGGAGGAAGGGGAACGCGAGGATAGCACGGGCGAGCGAGTAAAAAGGGCCAATTGCGATTAATTGGTGAATCGGGATACCTGCGATCGGAACTCTGGATTTGAAGGGGCGCGTGTCGAAGAGGATGCACGCAAGAAGTACGAGCAGCCCGCGAGGATTCGTACACGTCGGGAACACGCATCGGTCGCGGTCGCGATTCCTCTTCTACAGGCGGTAGAGAGAACAGGAACTGTTCGGTGAACGAAGAAGGACTTCCCGTGTGTGTGGAGAATCCGGATGCCGGCACGGATGATAGTCGCACGTCTAGCCGTTTCAAGCCTTTAAATGGTGCATCATTCCGAGGACCTTAGCCGTAGTGAAACATTAGGTACGCATAGAAAGTGTCCGAGGAAATCTAGAAGACCATAGTGGTCCGTCGTATTCGTCGTACGTGAGACCGAATGTAAACGATCGACATCGAGAAGAGTGCCATTCGTCCACATGTAAAACTCGGTCAGAAGTTTTCGTTCGGTAGACGATCGTAGGTGAGATCGTGTTCGGTTCCCTTTGAGAAAGGGAAATACGAACGAAGGAGGAACGAAGGAAGGAAGGAAGGAAGAGGGAAATGCGTTCGCGGTAGAAATCATTGCTCTGCTCGAACACGGTGAATCTTGTGCGGGGGTCTGCGGGTCGGCGACAGGGGGTCGAGATCAGGGAGAGGAAGTGTCTTCGAAGGGCGGCGAGTTCGGAACGTTGACACGAGGGAACGGGACGATACGGAGACGGACACGAGGCGCGGTTGCGAGAGACCGCGTATCCGCGGACGGTGCAAACGGTGAAAACGAAAGCGCGAATGGCCGAGAACAGGGTGAGCAGGGTGGTTACGGCGGTCCATCTCGCGGGTGAGATCGATCCTGAGACAGCGACACCGGGTTGTTGTTGGTAATGGGGGGTTTAGGCGAGAATGCCTTCTCCCTGTCGCCGCCGTCATCGTCGTTCACTACCTTCTCAACAGGTTCCCGTCGTGGCCGTCGCAGCCTCGTCTCGTTCAAGTATCGTTGGCCAGGAACGAGGAGGACCCTTTGCACGGACGCACCCGTTCACCCGAACCCGGTCGTCGTCGCCACCGCGGGATCGGCTCGCGTTACCGGTAGATTTAGAGATAGAAGCGAGCAGCGGATCGGTGGTGGTGATCGCCGATCGATACCGATCGATACCGGCGTCGAGGACAGCCGGCTCGGAGAAGCGGAAGAAGCGACGAATCTCGGTGTCGAGGAGACGAAGAGGAGCGAAAGGAGCAGGAGAAGGAGGTGGTGGTGGGGGTGGACGAGGTGACTCGCCGCCGAGATGCACCAGGTGTCGTACGGAGCAGGACTCAGTTCGAACGCCGCAGCAGCAGGTCGAAAAGAGAGGCTCTGGGGGAGGAAAGAACGCCGGGAACGGCATCGCGGCCGTGGTCACCGTCATCGTCACCGTCACCGGCGTGCCGGTGCAGTCGCTGTCCCCGCGACACCTTTCGATCCCTCGATCGATCGCACCAGATCGTGTCGAGAACAACGACATCGTCTATCGTCCACCTCTCGTGTCCCGTCCGGATACAGAGGATCGCTCCTGCCGTCCAACGTCCTCCTGATAGGATTGGCGCTCTGCTGCCTGACCCTGTCCCCGGTTGAACCGCGGCAGAACCATCGCCAGACCTGCCCGGGGTGCCCGCATCAACAACAACAACAACATCATCATCACCAGCAACAACACGTTCACGAGGCCCACTACCGGGGCGGTGGTTCCGAGAGGAAGGAGACCGCCCCCCCTACCCCGGACGACCTCAGGCTAGAGGCCATCAAACATCAAATTCTTTCGAAACTTGGCCTTACGACGCGGCCGGACGTGAACCGAACTTTGGCCACGGTACCTAAGCAATTAGCCCTCGAGACCTTGTACAGAGCCGAGGCCCAGTCGTCGTCGTCGTCCCGTTACCCCTCGCCGGACGCCTCGGTCCGAATCGATCGCGATCGCGAGAACGTCTACTCGGCCGAATTCCTCTACGGTGCCGACGAGTACTCCTATAAAAATCTCGATCAACGCGCCGACAGCTCCGCGAAGGAGAACGCGAGGATCGCGTCCTCGTACCGGGGATACGGGGAGCACGAGGGCCACGATCCAGAAGAAGAGATGGACGACTTCTACGCGAGGACCTCAGAGATCATCACGTTCGCTGAACCTGGTAAGCGTGAGATTTCGCAACATGTCTATGTACCTACGTACGCCTCTCGTCGCAGCTGACGATTCATGACCATTCGTCTACGATCGGTCAATCTTTTTAAACGGACTTCTCGAGACTTTGACTGCAACGCGTGACCGATCACCTAACGAACTAACCGAAGTTCAGCTTCGTACATGTCCGACGCGAAGCAACGTTGTATTGGATTCGCGAGAGCCGTTTAAGGCGAAAGCAGAAACATAGATTTCGTTCTCGTCGATCGTGTACTCGGAGTACTTATCCATGGTGTAATGCAATAAGTACGTGCTCGATCCAATTTTCGTTCGATCCATTCGCGGACAGGTTGGTTCGCGTTAGCCCTTGTCTCGCGAGTTTTCGTAAACGACGATACCGCTGCCGCCGCCCGGGTGACGAACCGTACGTGCGTGCCGTTCCAATGGTTTCGAATCGCGCGAGCGAACGAGTCGCGAACAGAGAGTAACAAAGAAAGAGAAAGATCATACGCAGAGAAACGTCACGAACGACACCTTGGTTCGCGTGCATGCGTGGCCACACGGCTGAAGCCACGTGGCTCGTGGATATGGGTGTCGCGCCACGACACGGTCTATAGTTCCGTTCCGTAGTTCAGTAACTCTAAGTTTAACAATAAGGGTAATAAAGCCAGTTGGATGTAGAAGCGGCAATGTTGGCCAGCGTTTCTGCCCCACCGCCGCTACCATCGACACCCTCCCTCCCATTAATCATATAAGTACGTTATCAACTTTTTAACAAAATATTTATGCAAAATGTATCGAGACGAAACCCCGAACGAGAGAAAGTGCTGCGCGCATCGATCGAGCGAACGCGTAGTCGTCCGATAACGAAAATTAACGTTGTTCCATCGAAAGTTCGCGAGTTTAGCTCGCGAGTTTATACCTGTCGCTTAATCGTCTCCGACGTGGTTAACAACGAATCACTGTTCGCAATTGTCTCTTGACCAACACAACGGTCTGACAGTCGACCGCCGCGTTTTTCCGCGTCGGACGATCGATCCGATTCACGTTTTTATCGTCGCCTCGCGCGTTGCCTATCGCTCAGCCTGGCGAGCGTGAACCGTGGTGAGCGGCCGTTACAATCCGAATCTCACGCGCGTGAAATTGGTGCATTAAACTGCATTATAATACGACATGCGTGATACTTTAACGTTAATGTCGCCGTCACTATACATAGCCGTTGAACACGTCATTCTTTTTGAAGAAACTAAAGAAACTATAAACCACCGTCGCCTCTTCGGTATCGATTCGTGGCCGCCGGCAAGGAGACGGAGGGGGTGAAACTTTCGTTCCATATTTTTTTTTTGTCCACGTAATACAAAAAAATTACACGAGCGTAGAGATTCCGGGGGGTTCCGTCCAACCGCATACTTCCACGGACAGTATCCGTCCCGGATCAGCGGTGGGCGGTGGGAAATATGTAGTCTATCACTCGACGGGCTTCCCTTCGACGATACCACCTCCTCCTCCTCTTCCTCGGGATAGGTTACTCTCGAGCGACGTAATGAAATTGAGAATTGGAAAAATGGGACAGATTCACGGATCGCGACGATCGACGAGAGGGTCTCCAAACAGATTTCGTTGTTATACAGGAATGGATCGAGAAACGAGAAATTAAGGCGATCATAAGTAATCGTCGAACGTCCCGGAGGATCGACCGATCTTTGTCTCTCCGCTGGGTATCGAAACGTGTATGCGAGCCTAAACGTTCGTTCGCTGGCGATAAAATCCGAAGGAGACAGAAGCTCGTGCCCGTCACCCGTTGGTGGTCGAGGCCGTTTCGAAACGAAGACATGAGTTGTTCCCACGCGTTTCCACGACAGACGAACCCCGAAGAAAGCCTCGGCGGCGAGAAGAAAGCTGGTTGGAACTTGGCGCGACGCGAAGATCATTTTCACCGTTCGCTGATGATTAACAGAGAGTATCGTGAAACGCTCGATCGTTGACGCCGTTCACCTCGCCCGCCGCTTCCGTGTTCTTCTTTTCATCCACTTTCAGCATACGCGCCTTCCCCTTTCGTCCCCTTCCCATCGTTCCCGAACACCATCTCCGAGTCCATTCTATCGGCATTGCCGAACGATGCCGATGCCGCGAGCTCGCAGTCATAATTTCCACGGTTTATTGTGTCTCGAGTTTTTCATGTTCAAGAGGAAACCATTACTCTTGACAGGGAATTGCACGGTATATTGCCAGTCGCTCCCGAAAACGGACGACCGGGGCGTCCCCACCGTAAGCGTCGCGCGTACTCCGATACCGCGCGACGCTTTTGCCAACGATCTTTCACACTTTTCCTTCCCTCCGTTTAATTAGTCGCAGCCGGTTGCACGATCGGTTGTTTCGTACCGGCTTCGCACGTGCCCGAGCAACGCGCTCGACTCCGTCAATCCCCGTTAAATCTGTCATTAAGACGCCTCTGCTCATCCGCTCGTTTACGTTCCCGTGCGTGCCGGTACCGGCCCGACCGTCTGGCCATCGACGCCTTCCTCTACTCGCGCGAGCCGCCGCGAAAACTTACAACCGAATTAATTTTCTGTCTCCACTTTCTTCCCACTGTGCCCCGGATGCCGACGACGAGCGTCGTGTTCCTTCGATGACGATCGCTCCTCCGTTCCTCTGTGTTCGTTTCGAGGATTCGTTTTACGTCAACGTCAGCAAGACCGTTCGTTGACCACGCGTTAGTAACGGACCAGGTCCGAGTGGAAGGAGAGCGTGTCAGTCGATTATATTTCGACGAACGTCGGTATTTTTCTACTTTTCCGTACATACGAACACGTACGTTCGCCGTCGGCGTCCAGTGATCGATCGAAAATACCCTTGTGCTTGGCGATCCAGCCGCCGTGTTTCAATTTGCATCGACGCACGTGCGGGCCTGACGACCAAACGAGAACACTTGCACGTTATCATCATGCATGTCAACGGTCACCGCGGAGCGTGTTCACCGTTCAATCGACGAAAACGTTTTTGCGGGTGCCTTAACATGATTAAAGGCAAGTCACCCCTTAATGTTAACGTTATCGGTCGCGGACTAAAAATTCATTTGTCCCGACAGAATTCGCCGCTTTTCATTTCGCTTTTTACGCTTCTCGCACGCGTTCGAGCTTAACGATCCCCTGCATAGAACCCGGTCGGAACGTTCACAAGAAGAACGCGAAGAAAGGAAGAAGAAAAAAAAGGAAAAAGAAAATGCGATGCGTAACATAATAAAGTATATGTCGTCGCGACGAGCGGAACACGTTTCGCTATTTGTCAGAATTGTTCGTCATCGCCGGAGGAGATCTCGACGTCGTAGACGAGAGGAGGTTCCCGTCGTAGAAGCTGGCCATTATACGCGCTCGACGGTTGTTCTCTTTTAAAAAGACTTGGCGGCGGCTCCGGTGAATGCAATTCTTTGTGAAAGCTCGGGGCGGCCGTAGCCTGTAACTCGTCCTACGTAGCAATCGTGGCAAACAAAACGGATATCCCTCCGGCTTTTCCCCCTCCCTCTCGTCATTTCGCTCTCTCGAATTCGAACGTCGTCGACGAGAATCCCTGTTTAATTCTTCACACCGTCTACCGTTCCCTAACCCCCCCCCCCTTCGTCCTGCTTCCATCGCTCCGCCGATCGTTTTATTCGACGTCGTTATTAAATACGATTTACGACTCGTAGGTGATTTCGTCTCGTTCGTTTTATCAGGGTTGTAATCATTAAATTTATATCGTGCATAAAACAGCGTGTCCGCGGCGACTCGCGTCGATACAGGAGGCGACCGTGTCTCTCCTTCCACGGCAAGGAACGAATTCCGAAATTCCTCTTCTTCTACCGCGAACTATGCCAAGGTTTACAAACTCCCGACATCCCGATCGATCTATCTCCTTCGGAGGGACTCGTCGTCCCCTCTTTGTCCCAGCGGCGCGGCGCGGCATGGCGCGGCTCGGCTCGACGCGGCGTCGAGTTGTTACCACGGCCGTGTCCTTTTCGGTTGAAACGCGGCCCGATTAGGTAATAACTGATACGTAATCGCGACCAATCGGAGCGCATCGAAAACACCAACCCCACCTGTAATCCGTTGAAATCCGCGACGTTCGTAACAGCTGCGTTCGACCGCCTTTAACGGCCTGTTCCTCGTCGGACACCTACCACTACCACTTTCTCAGGGAGAGGCGGAGAAAATCCTTTCCCGAGACCTGCTCGACCTTGAACGGTCCGCGGAGTTCCGAGTGACCGTCGAGTGCCGAAGGGGATGGAAAATCTCTGGATTCTTAACGGACTGCCCTTCGGTCCCTCGCCCGAATATTTAACCGCGTAAACGTGTCAAGACGTTTAAACACTTGAACGAGGCGCCCTCCCCGTCAGCCGCGTGTTTTTAATTCGTTGGCCACGTCGCGCGTCGTTGGCTGGTGTTCCTTTTCGAATCGTCGATCGTCCCTCAAAAGGGCAAAAAGTATCCGAAGCCTGTCCAACTAACGTTGCACTCGTACATCTGTCGGCTCCTTAATCTTTCCCAGCAAAAGGAAGATGAATAGAAGTCGGTGGAGGTGGAGAGAGAATCGCGTTTCAGAAAGTCCTGGAACAGTGGTGGAGAGTTCGTTCAACCTCGGGGAGAATCCCAGGGACAAATTCGCCGGATAGAGCGTGCAGGGGTTAAGACACGACCTTCCACGGGAAAAGAAAGAAAAGAGAGACAGAGATTTCTTCGTTGCTCTCCTTCTGCCTCTCTCTCTTTCTCTCTCTCTCTCTCTCGTTCTTGATACGTGGCAAAGGAGCCGGAAGGTGAAGTGGGACGGGGCAGGCGCTGGGTATGGTAGAAACGTCGGTCGGAGCAGGGAGGCTGACGGGATGTTCAGGGTGGGATGGTACGGTTCGAGATCCGTTGGAGTGGGACAGGGTCGAACTCATGGACGAACGAGCCGACGGATAGGACGGCTGGCGCCTGTAGTCAGATCGATGCACGTGGCTCCAGCTGGGCGCCGCTCTTCGTACATCTCCTACTG